AAAGTGCAGCGTCGTTGGAAATCGCGACGAGTCCGACGAGAGCCCTATCAGTCCCCATCTTTCCTGCCGCGCTCCTCGAGCCGCATCGGTCCGTCAGGGCCTCGGTGCTTCTCCAAGGCAGGGGGCCAGGGCGTCCCAAAATATTGGAGGTGTATTGAGAACCCTCCCTTACGGTGAGGGCACTGGATAAGGGGTCTGGAAGCCAGCGGAACACGAATTGAGGCCTAGCCATGTATTAGATGCTCTTTTGGGGGACCTTCTTGGGGCCCACCTACCGGATCTGTTCTACTCCTAGTTCGACCCCAGTTCGACTCAAGTTCGACTCAAGCTCGACTCAAGTTCGACCCAGGCTCGAGTCAGGTTCGACTCGGGGTCGACTCAAATCGACGGACGTGCGACGCAGCTTCGACGCAAGAGTGGAGCGAGTGCCTCCAGGAAGGGCTTCCTGATTGACTTTGCGATTGTCAGCGAGAGCCTGAAGGACAGGGTGACTCTCACCCCTGTCCTGGCGGTGCCATGGAAGACCCACTGCGGCGTCGCAATCTCCTTCGAGAGGTTCCCAGAGTGAGCATCCAACGGGGCTCTCGCCGCCGCCCTGCGCAGACACGGAACCCTCTGGGGTCTGCTGCCCGCGGGGCCTCTCGGCCGCTCCCCCGCTGCCTCGGGAGGCCGCGCCCCCTCGAGACCCCCCCCCCTCGGATTCGGGCGAGCGGGTTCTCTGCAAAGGGGGTCCCTCCCTCCCTCCCTCCCTCCCTGCCTCCCCCTTCTCCTCCCTCTCCTCCTCCTCCTCCTCCTCCTCCTCCTCCTCCTCCTCCTCTCTCCTCCTCCTCCTCCTCCTCCTCCTCCTCCTCCTCCTCCTCCTCCTCCTCCTCCTCCTCCTCTCGAACATGTGCGCAATAGTTCGTGGCATCGTTCGTGCGGGATGCGCACGTCGTACAATATCAGCGCGTGGCTGCCACGCGCCATGCGTCACAGGATGAACTACGGTGGGGGCGTTCGTGAAGGAACGTGCCCAGGGGGCTTCGGACCCTAGATGGGTCCTGCTTATCTGATGAGGGCGGTGGCGATGTGTCCATGGCCAATCCACGATTGGCTTCCCAGTGGCTTCCTGACCCTGGATTCCTGATCGAAGCTTCCTTATCCAATGCCATCACCGTGTTGCATTTAGTTTTTGCGACCCCGTTGCGAAAGCCCCCCTCTTTGCCCCGAACCCCTCCCCCCCCCCCCCCGGAGCGGGCGCCGGCCGCGCCTCGCGGCGCGGGGGGTAGCCTCGCCGCGTGCGCGCGGCTCCCCCCGCCCACTGCCAGAGGCGGTGCCCCGCGGGTTCCTGGGCCGGACGCTGTGAGTGCGCCCGCGCCCCGCCTGCTTCGGCAGCAGATCGTGGGAGGCCGGAGGAGGAGGAGGAGGAGGAGGAGGAGGAGGAGGAGGAGGAGGAGGAGCAGGAGGAGGACGAGGATGATGAGGAGGAGGAGGGGGAGGAGGAGGAGCAGGAGGAGGACGAGGAGGATGAGGAGGAGGAGGAGGAGGACGAGAAGGAGATCGTTCGGCTTTGGCAGCAGCAGTGTGCCCTCTCGAATCCGTCTTCAGCGTAGCGTCGACTGGCGTCGATCAGCGTCTGGGAGTCGATGAGAGAGCGCCGATTCAGCGTCGATTCAGCGTCGATTCAGCGTCGATTCAGCGTCGATGAGCGTCGATTTGGCGTCGACCAGCGTCGATTCGCACGAGCCGACAGGATGGTACGGGAGGCTCCCATGAGTTGCCACCGAATTCTGGCGGCCCTCTCGCGGGCAGACTTCTGGGCTCCTGGGGTGGGGAGGGTTCCACAGCGGTCTCTGTAGCTTTGAGTTGGGCGTGTCCCTCTACAGGAGGAATTTCCCCAAATAGTCAAAATTATTATATAGGGACGATGTTTCGACTATTGTTGAATATTTGTTGTATTTGCTGAGTGTTTTGGATTTTTCATCCAAAATCCGTCTGTAGGGCGACGTGCCCGACCTAACTGTAGCTGCTCCACGTCCCCCGATCTCGTCAAGAGCCGGCCCAAATTCTGCAGAATGCTGGCATCGGCCAGACGTAAGAGCGAGCTTTCGCCGGAGTGACCTTTGGGTGTGGGCCCAACGGGGTCCCCCGATCGCCGAACGGGATGCGGTAGTGGCGCTTTGCGCGCTCGCGTTTGGTCCCCCCGCGGCCCCCACAGAGCCGCGCACCAAAGGTCACTCTTACCCCGTCAGAGAGCTGTTGCCTTTTCAACCTTGGCTCGGGCATCCGCTCTGTCCCGACAGAACTGCTGCCGGGGCACTCTCTTGGAGAGTGTGCCTTGGGCGCTGTGAGCGCCACAGAGCTGCAAGCAAAATGGCACCAGATGACATGCGCTGCTACTGCTCGTCCCTCCAACCAGCCCCTACAGTCGGGGCGCTGAAGAAGAAACCCTTTTTGTTGTTGAGGGGCTCGGTGTTCCTTGATAGTTGTAGAGTTTGTCTTGGGTTTTCCTTTCGTTTTCCATAGGGAATCAACATTTAACGTATGGGAACAAGGGACCTCGTTCCTTATTTAGGGTTCCTTAGGTCAACGCCCCGAATGTACTGCCCCAAAGAGCCGCGCACCAAAGGTCACTCTTACCCGGGGTCAGCCTTGCGTGCAGCCGATGGCCGCGCGACGCTCGCTTTTCTCGAGCCCCTGGCTCGAAAAGGCGCGGGGGCCGCGCTCGGCGCCCTCGAGGCTGCGGGCTGGGCAGTCTGCTCGCGCCCGCTCGTTTTTGGGGCCCCAGGGGAGGGGCGGGGAGGGCAGGGCTCCTTTCGATTCCTCCGGTTCGATTCGGTCCGATTCCGATGGCTGCCGATTCCGATTCGATCCGACTGATCGCGCCCGCTCGGTTTGGGGCCCCATGGCAGGGGCGCGGAGGGCAGGGCTCGTTTCGGTTCCTCCGATTCTCGATTCGATTCAAGTCCGAGGGCTGCCGAGTCCGATGCGATCGCCGATCCGACTTATCGGTTCGACTCTGGACTCTCCTGGGAGGGATGGGAGGGATGAAGCCGTCGGGCCGGGATGGTGTGTGTGGGGAGCCGTCGGGCTGTGCCTGGGCTGAAGTCGGGCACGTCCCCCTACAGGAGGAATAACTTCAAGAATAGTAGACAACAGTCAGGTGGCGATTTTTGATGCTCATTCGACTATTTTTGAGTACTGCTTGACACTGTCTAAGTTTTCTTTCGAAATCCGCCTGCAGGAGGACGCGCCCGACTCGGGCAGTCCCCGAGGCCGAGGCGCGAGCGGGGGAGCGAGAGAGGAGAAGGAGGCAGGAGGCGGGACGGGGCGGGGTGGGGAGGGAGGGGGAGAGGGAGGGCACGGAGAGCCCAGCGGGGGGGGGGGGGGGCAGAGGAGGGAGAGAAGCCAGATGCGCTCGCGCCACAGCTGACATCCGGATTGCCCAGTCCCACCCCATCTTCTCCCCACGGCGGTGTGGCTTCTCCACCCGTCGACGCGTGCCATGGCGGGCCCGGCATTTCCAAAAAGGACTCCCATCGTGCGGTGAGCAATCGGAGGAGAACTGGAGCTGCGTAACATTGGAGGAGGAGGAGGAGGAGGAGGAGGAGGAGGACGAGGAGGAGGAGGAGGAGGAGGTGGCGGATGAGCAGGAGGAGGAGCAGGAGGGGAACGAGGAGGAGTATGAGGAAGAAGGAGGAGGACGAGGATGCAGAGCGGCAGCAGGAGCTGAAGCGCCGATCCTAAAAGGAGGCCTACGCTGCAGCGGTAGCACCGTTTTAAAACACCGAGGACTGTGCAAGAGAAAAACACGAGGGATCTCCCCGTGATGAGATCCGGTGTCTGAAAACCATACGCGGCGAGGGCGGGAGGTCTTCCAGACAGGATCGGGGGAGGCGGGAGAGTAATATCCATATCACGCTATGTGCGCTCGCGCCACATCTGACAGTACACCCAGGCCCACCCATCCCCTCCCACTGCGCTTTCTAAGCGATTCGCCGACGCGTGTCATAGCGGGCCTGGAACTCCAAAAAGGATCCCCATCGTGGCATGCGAAATCGGAAAGATGACGCTGCACACATTGGAGGAGGATGAGGAGGAGGAGGCGGATGAGCAGGAGGATGAGCAGGAGGAAAAGAAAAGGAAGACGAGGAGAAGGAGGAGGGGGAGGAGGAGGAGGAGGAGGAGGAGGAGGAGGAGGAGGAGGAGGAGGAGGAGGAGGAGGGAGAGGACGAGGACGCAGAGCAGCAGCAGGAGCTGGAGTAGCAGGAGCAGGAGCAGCAGGAGGCCCAGAGGAAGGCGGAGGAATGGCAAGGAGGGGGTCGACAACAAGGAGGAAGGATCCGGCTCCGGGAGAGTGGCCCGCGCGTGGGCGGGAGAGTCCTTCTGCACGGCGGGAGCAAAGTGCCGATACGAAGACGAGGCCCACGCTGCACCGGCTGCACCATCTTGAAGCACCGAAGCGACCAGATGGTACAAACGACGACGATAGTATCAAATAATAAGATCGTGATTGTAAAAGCTGTTAGCCAGCGTGGAAGCCAAACAGTACGTTATTGCACTACGGGTGTGTGAGCCATGTGACGCAAGCGATGTGGAAGAAGCCATGTGGCGCAGCATACATGTTGCGAGCTAGAGGCGGCAACGGGCGGCAACGTGTCTAGAGCGGCTAGACCTCCACCCAGTGCGTGAGGCGGCAACGAGGCGGCAATGGGCGGCAACGTGGCGAAACCTCACTGAACCCAGCCAGCGCACGAGGCGGCAACGATGCGGTAACCGTCGGCAACGCTGCGAAACCTCGCCGGACCCACCCAGCGCACGAGGTGGCAACGAGGCGGCAATGGGTGGCAACGTCTCGAAACCGCGCCGGACCCACCCAGCGCGCGAGGCTGCCACGAGGCGGCAGGCTGCGGTCTGCTTCGGAAGAGGTTGGCCGACGGAGGTTGCGGTCTGCGTCGTTGCTTGTGCCGGTACGCGCCCGTGCTCGTGAGCCCTGTCGGTGCCGCAGTCGCTTGTGCGACAGCTGGCATCGGCGATGCGAGCTCACGCGTTGGCACGGGCTCCCGCCTGTGCGCAGGCGGGCCTGGTGGCTCAGCCGTAGTCCCCGCAATCGACGAGGCCGACGTCTCTGTTGACCTGGGCCCTGACGTTGATGCAGTGCTACCTCTCACCCGCCTGGCCTTCTCAGGGAGGTCTGGCTTCTAAGGGGAGCGAGGGACCAAACTTCACGTGACCTGGAGGGCAGCGTTGCCACCAGTGAGCAGGACCGCCCAGCACTGGTTCAGATCCCCCGTGCGGCCAAAGACAGTGTCGTGTGGGCCGTTCATGGACTTCGTCATTCGGGGAACGACTGCTACCTCGAAGAGGAAGGCGAAACCCTCGAACCATGGTCTGACTTCGCGCAACGCCCGGCCGGAGAGGCAGAGCAGCGCACAGAGTCTTTGAACCTTTCAGATTGGGCTCGTTGAGTACAGACGAAGGAAATGCTGGTTGGCCGGGAGGCTCCGCAGCCTTGGCTATCAGAACTGGTCCCGTGCAGCCTTCGGTTGGGACCCTGGGGAGCACCGCCAGGTACGTGATCGCACAGGCCGACCGGCACGGAGGTTGAGCGAGTGTGTCGCCAGCTTCTGCGAGTCAGAGATCGGGGCCGCAGTCATTTGGCTGACCATCGCTGCAAGCTCCGATTCTCGGCACCATCTGGAGGCGCATGTCACGAAGTTCCACCATTTGCCGAAGCGCACTGACAAGTCGTGCATCATATCTTCCTGCTCCCCTGAGTGGGCAACCTGCTCTATAAGGGGGCGTGCCGATCCCTCCGTGCCCAGGGGCCAGTTCAGGCTGCCTCGAACGATGCTCCTATGCTCGTGCGCTCCGTCACCTCGATGCCCTCCTGGGTGGGCGGAGGCACGGCTGGAGGGACGAGGCCCGCAGTGTCGGGCACCTGGCCGGCCCCGGCAAGCCCTGCGCGTGCCCTGGCGGGTTCTATGCTCCGTCCCGAGGGCGGACGACGGGGCGCCCCCGAGCCCCCCGGCAGGCGGTTCGGCGGGTCCGCCTCGTCGCAGGGGCCCCGTGCGTCGTTCGAGTCGTCAGCTCGCGCGAGTGCCGTCGTGGGGGCACTCACTCACTCACTCATGCCATACGCCGGAGCGCGTGGGCGAACGAAGACAAGACAAGGCCAGCCGATTCTCGCCGCTTTGCGGGAGCGGCGGCACTACGGCGGTCGCATAAAACACAACGCGCGCGGCAGCAGGAGGAGGAGCAAGAGGGAAGACAAACGGCCAGCGAATGATACGGACTTCGCTTGGAACGTATCCGGCCGAAGGCTGCAGAAAGTTTGTGGTGCTGGCAGCGGCGTTTGCCGCGCCGCGGGTGTCGCTGAGGCTGGTTTTGCCCTGGGCTCCACCCTGGCGGGTGCACCCTTGGGAGGTTGGCGCTGGCTGCAGCGCCGAAGTCCGCGGGGAAGATGACGACGGAGTCCCAAGGATCGTCGGTCGGTGCTCTGCTGGCGGGTGTTGGGGGATGCTACTGATGTGTGAGATCCTGTGGTCAGCCCTGGTGAACGGAGGCGCGATCGGGACGTCCAACAGGGGCTGTGGCATTATCTTGGTTGGTGACGGCAGGGGCAATAAACCTTGGTGGGTCACGGCTGGTGCCCGTGTTGCGTGTCGGGGCAAAATGCAGCTTCGTGTAGCTGGTGTTGAGCTGCCTGCATGATCTCATCAGATCGCTCCTGAGCCGAGGCTGGTTGGAGCGGTGCTGTTTGTATACGGCCTCGAGGTCGGTGGGGTGTTTTTGGACAAGCTCGTCGTAGGCTGCAGCAGCCCGGTCTGCGCCGCCACTGCTTCGGAGAGCAGCGGTACAGGCCTCCTGGCGCACGAGAAGGCTCTCTGGGCAGGAGGCTTGCCGGCCTTTGCCGGATGGCTTGGGCTGCAGTGGTGCGTGACGCCTACGGCGACGGCTCTCGGGCACCAGTGCGGCGCGCGCGGGGATGCGGAGATTTCGCTAAGCAGTCGCACCCGTTAGGGGGCCACATGCGAACCCTACCCCTACCCCCCACGATTTCTGAGGGGGAGGGTGGGGTTCACTTCACTCGGGGGCTCCCGAACGAAGTGAACCCCCACCCTCCCCCTCAGAAATCGTGGGGGGTAGGGGTAGGGTTCGCATGTGACCCCCTACCCGTGGGACGCGGTGTGTCCAGTCCCGCCATGCGCGGAGAAAGCTGGCAGCTGCGCTGGGGGCTTCGCGCCGCGGCTGCGCTCTGGGCCGGGGGACCTTGAGCCGAGGCGAGGGACGAGGGGGAGCAGAGGAGGAGGAGGAGGAGGAGGAGGAGGAGGAGGAGGAGGAGGAGGAGGAGGAGGGGGAGGGAGGAGGAGATGGAGGGGGAGGAGGAGGAGGAGATGGAGGAGGAGGAGGAGGAGGAGGAGGAGGAGGAGGAGGAGGAGGAGGAGGAGGAGGAGGAGGAGGGGGGGAGGAGGAGGAGGAGGAGGAGGAGCAGGAGCAGGAGCAGGAGAGGAGGAGGAGGAGGAGGAGGAGGAGGGGGGGAGGGGGAGGGGAGGAGGAGGAGGAGGAGGAGGAGAGGAGGAGGAGGAGGAGGAGGAGGAGGAGGGAGGAGGAGGAGGAGGAGGAGGAGGAGGAGGAGGAGGAGGGGAGGAGGAAGAGGGGGTGGAGGAGGGGGAGGAGGAGGAGGAGGAGGAGGAGGAGGAGGAGGAGGAGGAGGAGGAGAGGAGGAGGAGGAGGGGAGGAGGAGGAGAGGAGGAGGAGGAGGAGGAGGAGGAGGAGGAGAAGGAGGGGGAGGAGAGGAGGAGGAGGAGGAGGAGGAGGAGGAGGAGGAGGGGGAGGAGGCGGAGGAGGAGATGGAGGGGGAGGAGGAGGAGGAGGAGGAGGAGGAGGAGGAGGAGGAGGAGGGGAGGAGGAGGAGGAGAGGAGGAGGAGGAGGAGGAGGAGGAGGAGGAGGAGGAGGAGGAGGAGGAGGAGGAGGGGGAGGGGGAGGGGGAGGGGGAGGGGGAGGAGGAGGAGGAGGAGGAGGAGGAGGAGAGGCGGAGGAGGAGGAGGGAGGAGGAGGAGGAGGAGGGGAGGAGGAGGAGGCGGAGGAGGAGGAGGAGGAGGGAGGAGGAGGAGGAGGAGGAGGAGGAGGAGGAGGAGGAGGAGGAGGAGGAGGAGGAGGAGGAGGAGGAGGAGGAGGAGGAGGAGGAGGAGGAGAGGGGGAGGGGGGGGGGAGGGGGAGGGGAGGAGGAGGAGGAGGAGGAGGAGGGGGAGGAGGAGGGCCCCCCTCGGGGCCCCCTCCCCTGCCGGGGCCGCCGGCCCGCCGCCCGGCGCACCGCCAGGGGCGGGGGCGGCGGCCTCCCCCGCGGCCGCGCGGCGGGGCCCTCTCCGGGCGCAGCGCGCGTAAGTCGCGCTGCGCGGGCCCGCCCCGCGCGCTCGCGCGCCGCCGGCTCCTCGACCCCGCCTCTCTCGGGCTCGCGCGCCTCCGGCTCCTCGACCCCATTCTCAAGCAGTGGCGAACCGTCCTGGCTCGCTTACAGTCCCACCAAACAATGTTCTAAGAACCTTTTGTGATTTCCACAAAATGTTCTTAGAACATTTCTGGCGGAGACTGACTTGTTTTAGCACATTTGGGTTTATGTTCTAAGAACGTTGTTTTGTTCTTAGAACATTTTCGGGTTCTAAGAACATTTCGTGGTATGACTATAGGAATGCCGGGACGGTCGGTCCCTGCTCAACGTTCCTCGATACATGGCCGCCTCCCGCGCCGGGAGGCGCTGGGAAAATCAGCTGCGTGAGCTGATTCTCAAGCCCCCCCCCTGTGCTATCCCCCCCTTTCGCCCAGCCCGACGCTCGAGGAAGAATAGGCGGCGTAAGCTTAAGTCGGGCCTGTCCCTCTACAGGGGGGAAATTCAAAAATAGTAGAAGAATAGTTTAGGGACAATTTTTGAGTATTTTGGGGCATCTTTCCAATATTTATCTGCATATTTTTCATTTTTTGCCCAAAACTCTCCCTGTAGGGGGACAGGCCCGACCTAAGCATAAACATAAGCTTTTGGCGCTCCGCGCGGATTTCTTGGATCCGCGCTGGGCCCCCACGGCGGCGCCTCCGACGCCGCCCCTGGCACGCTCCCGGCGCGGATCCAAGAGATCCGCGCGTAGCGCCGACAGTTTATGGTTATGCCGTTGTTTCTTCTTCTAGCCTCGACCCCTCAACATTTTCGGACGTGTTCGTCGGCTCTCGGCGGTTTTCCAGTTTTGCAGCCTCGAGGTGCTCTCCAGCGGCTGCGCCTCTCCGAGGCCGTTCCGGGGGGGAGCCGGATCGCCCCGGCCGGAGAGCCGAGTTATGGCCCGAAGGCCGGGGGCGACGTGGCGACGCGAGGGGTGGGGTAGGTTGGGGGGACGCATCGACCCCCAGTCGCCCATTGATGGCCGACTGGGGCCCGATAGCCCCATGCCGCCCAGGATCGTGCGGACTCGGTATCGGGGACCTATCGCCGATCTGTCGGCGACGTGTCGCCGATTCCACCTCGACGTTTCCCCCCGAACCTGTCCCCATCGAAGAGGACACACGGACGAGATTATGCGACCGCGTCTTCCGATGCATTCCCCGAGGGGCTCCCATCGATTCCAGCGGCAATGCCTTGCACTTGCGTGTGTGCGTTCCGAGTCAGCCGCCCACAAACATCCTCTCTTGCGGGACAGCCCTGATGCCAATCAACCTCGCTAGGTATTGGGGTTTCGCTTTTTCGTGCCCATGTCGTGTGCGCAAAGCCGTTCGCAGCCAGTGGCCAGCTACGGATTTCCCGTGCCGTTTCCTGCCCGCCGCCGTTCGCTGGGCGCGATTGCGAAACAATAGCACAGGTGTGTGTGTGTGTGTGAGCGTGTGTGTGTGTGTGTGTGTGTGTGTGTGTGTGTGTATGTGCGTATCGTAGTGCTTTGCGCGGCCCGCCTAGCTCTTAACCGAAAGAGGCTCGCTCTCGACCCGCAGACCAAAACAGTGTGTGCGTATCCCAATGGTGCTTCCTAGGGCCCAGTGCGGCCGTTTGTCCTGCCGCACTTGTTGCTGTTAGGCTGGGGACGGGCGGAGGGTAGCGATTTGGTTATGGCGTCTTGCCGTTTCCCATAAGCGGGCTCGGCCGTGGACGGACAACTGGCCATGTCGTTATGATGATCGTGTGAATGCGTGGACAAGTACTCCAGATCTCGTAATAAAGGGAGGGGGGTCTCATTCCGGGGGGGGGTCTCTTCCAGGTTATCTTGGAGGGCCTGGGGGGTCTGGGGACGATGTTTTGGAGGGTTCTCCCACGGGGGGAGGTCTGAAATGGCTTGTCTTGGAGGGTCCAGACCCCCTCCCTTTTACTACGAAATCTGGAGTGGGCGATGCATCCCCCAGAATGTTCGCCGCGACCCCCGATGATCTCGGTGAGGTTCGAGTTCGAGTGAAAGCGTCAGGCCCTCGAGCACGGCCTGGGTTTTCCCTCGTGTGTTTCTTCTGGTCCCCCCTGTTGCTTCCGCTCACGCTTGGCACGGTCATCCGCCGATGTGCGGTGGAGACCGTCGCGTGATTTCCAGCAATTCGGCTTTTTCCAGCTTTCACAACTCGCCCAATCTACAAGCTCCACGCCATCCGCCCACCCATTTGGTATCATTGCTGCCATGAGCCTGGGTGTTCGGGGTGTGGGGGGGGCGGCAAGTTGTTGGGTTTCGGTGCTTTTCTCCCCCGCTGTAGTGTGATACCCGCGCCAGGGAAGAATGGTCGCTGATTAACTGTTGGGCCTTCACCACAATCGTGCCAGTGTTGGTGGCGTTGGAGACATCTTTAAGGTCTCTTGTGAACCTCTTGGTGATTTCTTGGGGTCATCCTGGGATCGTAGTGGGCCCCATGCTGGGAGCTACCTTGAGACCCCTCTGGCCCTGTATGGGGATCTCTTGAGTCTGATTTGGCCATCTTGCGGCCCCGTTAGACCTTCTTGGGCCGCCCTGCGGCCTTCGCAGGCCGTACGGGAGGCTCTGCTGGGGCCGTCTTGGGTTGTCCGTGGGCTCCCTTCGGCATTCGTGGGCCGTCTTTGGAAACTTGATGGGGCGCCGTTGTGTCCTGCTTGGCCCTCGTTGGCTTCCCTGAGGCCCGCCACGCGTCGAAAAGCGAGCTGGGACACCCAGCGACATGACGTGTTCCAGTGCTCTTGGGGCCTCCCTTTGGGCCTATTGTGCGCCTCTTGGGCCATCCTGGGAGCCGTTGTCCGTCTTGGGGCGTCCCTTAGGGCGCTCATCTGCCATTTTGGTGGCCTCTTGACGCCCTCTCGGGCAATCTCCGGGGGGTGTCGGGGCCGTCCCCGACGGGGCCCGTGGACCCTTCACCGCATCGCTGTCCCTGCCCGTTCCCCTCCTGGGACCTCCCTGGCCTGCCTCTCGCGTGCAAGGTGATGGTTTGTCGGCGGCGAGCGAGGGGAAGAAGGGAGTAGGAGAAGGCCGTCTCAGAAGGCGGCGGGACTTCTCAGAAGCCCTCGCGCCTTCTTAGAAGTTGTCAGTGTCTTCGGGGAAGGCTCTAACAACTTCTCAGAAGGCTGGGGGGCCTCCGAGCCTTCTCAGAAGGCCCGTCCCTTCTCACTTCCCCCCCCTCGCTCGCCGCCGAGTTTGGGCGCCAAGCTGAGCATGTCGCAAAGTGGCACGAGGGGAAAGAGCAGCTTTTGTTAGGGGAACGAAGAATGGCATAAACACAAAAACTCGGAGGTCCACACGAATTTCTCGGATCCGCGCTAGACCCCCTTGGCGGTGCCTCCGGCGCCGCGCCTGGCGCACAAAACGCTATATCGCAGCGACGGACCTGGAAACGCCCAAGAAACGACCAACAATAGCACTGAAAGAACGTAGCTTTTTCAAGCGTCTTCAGCCTGTCAAGAGCCCAAACTAGAAAACGCTTAAAAAACATTGCGTTTTCAAGATGGACCAAGCTCTAGAGCAGGAATACTCAAGAGTAGTAATGATAATAGTCAGTCGACGAATTGTCGTGCCTCTCTTTTAGATTATGTTGGATCGTGTTTGGGTGTGTTCCGTGTTCCCTCCAGAGTAATCCGCCTGCAGGGGGACACGCCCGACCGAATCCTTGACCCGTGCTGTCGTGGCAGGGCCGAACGGAGGAGGAGGAGGAGGAGGAGGAGGAGGAGCGGGAGGGGGAGGAGGAGGAGGAGGAGGAGGAGGAGGAGGAGGAGGAGGAGGAGGAGGAGGAGGAGGAGGAGGAGGAGGAGGAGGAGGAGGAGGAGCGGGAGGGGGAGGAGGAGGAGCAGAGGAAGAGGGGCCTCCTCCTCCTCCTCCTCCGCCTCCTCCTCCTCCTCCGCCCCGTGGCACGCCTTGGGTTGGCCCGACGGGCAGGCGGGCTCACCTTTTTGCCAGGGGCCTGCGGCCAGCGCCGCGCAGGCCGGCCGCGGGGGCCTGCGACCCGCTGCCGTCCGGGCCGTACAGGGGCAGGGGCAGCCGTCCGCCGCATAGAAGCTCGCCTGGTCTGTCTGCTCCACATCCTCCTCCTCCTCCTCCTCCTCCTCCTCCTCCTCCATCTCGTCCTCCTCCTCCATCTCCTCCATCTCCTCCTCCTCCTCCTCCTTCTCCTCTTCCTCCTCCTCCTCCTTCCCTCCTTTTCACGCTCGTCGCGATCGTGCCACATGTCCACGGCGGAATCGTCGCGGCTGCGGCTCGTCCCCGGGGAGAGAAGGGTAGGGGGGGAGGAGGAGGGAGGAGGGATGAGGAGCCGTGACGAAGAGACGGAGGGGGAGACGAAAGTAGGAGGAGGGAGGAGGGAGGAGGGGAGGACGAGGAGGAGGGAGGAGGGGAGGACGAAGAGGAGGGAGGAGGGATGAGGAGAAGAAGAGAGGAAAACGGGGAGAGGAGTGAGAGGGGGGGCCAGGGAGGAGGGAGGGGTGTGGACACACAGGCGGCGCTGGCAAGGAGGGAGGGGGAGAAGGGACAGGGAGGAGGAGGAGCTGGAGAGGCAGAAGGAGGAGGAGGGGGATGGACGGGACGCCGAGGCCAAGGAGCCGAGGCCAGGAGGGGAGGGGAGGGCCTCCCAAGTTTCTTCCTTTGTGTAAGGCTCTGCACCGCAGGGCGCTGGACCGCTTCAGATTACCGAGGTTACCTAGGGGGGGGGGATGGGGAACTGGAGGAAGGAGAGGACGATGAGGAGGGAAGGGCGAGGAGGAAGATCAGGAACATCACCAGAAGCATGGCGATGGTGATGGTGCTGATGATGACAATGACGACGAGCATGAGCAGGGGTAATGTGGTGATAGTGGTTGTGGTGATAGCGCTGCTGGTGGTGTTCGTGATTTCGATGATAATGAGGCTGCGGATGAGGAGGAAGAGGGAAGAGAGGATCAGGACAAGGGTGATGGTGGTGATGCTTGCTCTGCTGGTCATGCTGATGCTGATGCTGTTGCTGCTGCTGCTGCTGCTGATGCTGCTGCTGCTGATGATGATGATGACGATGATGATGATGATGATGATGATGATGATGATGATGATGATGATGATGATGATGACGATGATGATGATGATGATGGCAAGGAATATGTGATGAAATGGGGAACGTGATGAAGAGCTGGGAGCGTGATGGAGAGGAGGAGGAGGAGGAGGAGGAGGGGAAGCATAATAAACACGAGAGTCACGAGGAAGGAGCAGGAGGATGAAGAACAGGACGGGAGCATGAGGAGGAGCATGAGGAGCGGGAGGAGGGAGCAGGCGGAAGAGCACCAGGCAGATCAAGAGGAGTTGGAGACACAGTAGGAGGCGGATGTGCAGAAGATGATGACGACGACGATGCTGATGATGATGATGATGATGATGATGCTGGTGATGTTGATAGTGTTGGTAATGGTGATGCTAATGCTGATGGTGATGCTGTTGTTGATGATGATGATGATGATGATGATGATGATGATGATGAGGATGAGGATGAGGATGAGGATGAGGATGAGGATGAGGATGAGGATGAGGATGAGGATGAGGATGAGGATGAGGATGAGGATGATGATGATGATGATGATGATGATGATGATGATGATGATGATGATGATGATTATTATGATGATGGTGGGGACGGGGGGGGAGAAGGAGGAGGAGGAGGAGGAGGAGGACGAGGGGGACGACGACGACGACGACGACGACGACGACGACGACGACGACGACGACGACGACGACGACGACGACGACGGCGACGACGACGACGGCGACGACTGCCCGCAGGGGCTGCCGGGCTGGAGCCCCTTCCGCCCCGACGCCGCGGACAGCCCCGCGGCGGAGTGCCAGCGCGTCGGCAGGCGCGCGCGCGCGCGCGCCCGCCTCCCGGGGGGCCTGGCGCCCCGTGCCCACTGCCCCCCGCCCCCCTGCCCGCCCCCACTGCCCCCTGCCGCCCCCGCATGTCTGATGGGCCTGTCTTCCACCACCACCACCAGAAGCTGGGGGGGAGGGGGTCCTCCTCCTCCTCCTCCTTCTTCTCCTCCTCCTGCTTCTCCTTCGCCTCCTCCTCCTCCTCCTCCTCCCCCTCGTCCTCCTCCTCCTCCTCCTCGTCCTCCTCCTCCTCGTCCTCCGCGTCCTTCCCCCCTCCAACTTGTGGTGGTGGTGGTGGAAAACAGGCCCATCATATACATATAACGGCGCACCGGGTCCGGGGGCCCGGGGCCAGGACCTCGACCACAAATGTGCACCCCGGGGGCCCCGGAGGCTCGTCGGGGCTTGCCGGAGGCCTCCCCAGTCAGACAAGACGGCCCCAGAAACGCCCGAGACGGCCCAAGAAACTTCCAAGAGGCCTCCAACAGGGCTCCGAGATGCTGAAGATGGCCTCCAAACGTCCAAGGACGCCCCCCAAGACGCCCCAAGAAGCCTCCAACATGCGTCCCAAGAGGGCCCCTAGACGCAAAAATTGGCCCATTCCCTTCGTAAAACGTACATTGTTCACAAAGTTGCCTTTTGGGCTTTCCGACATTACAGGACGGCCCAAGAGGCGCCCAAGACCGCCCCAAGACGGCCCAAGAAGCTCCCAAGAGTGCCCCAGGACAGCCCAAGAGGGCCCCAAAACGGCCCAAGAGGCGCCCAAGATGGCCCAAGAGGGCCCCAAGACGGGCCCAAGAGGGGGCCCAGAGGGGGACCACGAACCGCAAGCTCGAGCCTTCCGCCCCAAGAGGCCGCCAGGAGGCCCCAAGGAGGCCCCTCAAGAGGCCCCAGGAGACCCCAGACGTCCAAGGACGCCCCCAAGAGGCCCCAAGAAGCCTCCAACATGCGTCCCAAGAGGGCCCCTAGACGCAAGAATTGGCCCATTCCCTTCGTAAAACGTACATTTTTAACAAAGTCGCCTTTTGGGCTTTCCGACGTTACAGGACGGCCCAAGAGGCGCCCAAGACCGCCCCAAGACGGCCCAAGAAGTTTCCCAGAGGGCCCCAGGACAGCCCAAGAGGGCCCCAAGACGGCCCAAGAGGCGCCCAAGATGGCCCAAGAGGGCCCCAAGACGGGCCCAAGAGGGGGCCCAGAGGGGGACCACGAACCGCAAGCTCGAGCCTTCCGCCCCAAGAGGCCGCCAGGAGGCCCCCAGGAGGCCCCTCAAGAGGCCCCAGGAGACCCCAGACGTCCAAGGACGCCCCCAAGAGGCCCCAAGAAGCCTCCAACATGCGTCCCAAGAGGGCCCCTAGATGCAAAAATTGGCCCATTCCCTTCGTAAAACGTACATTTTCAACAAAGTTGTCTTTTGGGCTTTCCGACGTTACAGGACGGCCCAAGAGGCGCCCAAGACCGCCCCAAGACGGCCCAAGAAGCTTCCAAGAGGGCCCCAGGACAGCCCAATAGGGCCCCAAGACGGCCCAAGAGGCGCCTAAGATGGCCCAAGAGGGCCCCAAGACGGGCCCAAGAGGGGGCCCAGAGGGGGACCACGAACCGCAAGCTCGAGCCTTCCGCCCCAAGAGGCCGCCAGGAGGCCCCCAGGAGGCTCCTCAAGAGGCCCCAGGAGACCCCAGACGTCCAAGGACGCCCCCAAGAGGCCCCAAGAAGCCTCCAACATGCGTCCCAAGAGGGCCCCCAGACGCAAAAGTTGGCCCATTCCCTTCGTAAAACGTACATGTTCAACAAAGTTGTCTTTTGGGCTTTCCGACGTTACAGGACGGCCCAAGAGGCGCCCAAGACCGCCCCAAGACGGCCCAAGAAGCTTCCAAGAGGGCCCCAGGACAGCCCAAGAGGGCCCCAAGACGGCCCAAGAGGCGCCCAAGATGGCCCAAGAGGGCCCCAAGACGGGCCCAAGAGGGGGCCCAGAGGGGGACCACGAACCGCAAGCTCGAGCCTTCCGCCCCAAGAGGCCGCCAGGAGGCCCCCAGGAGGCCCCTCAAGAGGCCCCAGGAGACCCCAGACGTCCAAGGACGCCCCCACGACGCTTCGCGTCACCAATTTCTTCTCACAACGATTCCTGGGTCTGTGACTCGACAGAACCTAAGCGCGCGCGAAGCGCGCGCGTGGTTCTAGTATCATATGTCGGGGGCGGCTAAGAGGGGGTGATGACTAGGGGTGTGTGGATATCATGGCGGGGGCCATGATATCCACACCCCCCTAGTCTCAGCCGATCGCAAACATGGATCCAGGGGGCGTGGATAAGCGACGGTTCCCGCTTCAATTGGAAACTGCGTATTTCCGCCGCCGAACGCGGCGGCACCGGCCGCATTTTGGGGAGGGCACCTCCCCCGATCCATGGAGTTGACGACCGCGCGCCAAATCCATGGATCGCTAATCCATGTTTGAGCGCCCCCGATCGTCATCACCCAGATTTCATGGCGCGCCTCTACTTATTTCAATACGTCCCGGCCCCCCTCCCCCCCCTGGGCCGCGCATATGCTGCGCCCCCACCCCCTCTTGGACGCCCCCCTCCTGGACGCCCCCGAGTATGGAGGAGGGAGGAAGTCTGCATCGGTACGATCGGAATGGGCACGGGTAAGAATGGGTACGAGCACCGGCAGTTGTTCCTTTCTGTGTGGTCCTTCGTGGGAGCATCAGAGGGTCCCAGAAACCCGTGCGGTTTGGAGGATTTTGTCGGGATTTCGTCGGACTCGATCGACGTCTGGACGAAATCTGGAGGACTTCTGGACCACAGGGTACAGAGGGGCGTGGACGTCTGAACGAAATCCGGTCGAGATTGTGTTTATAGGGCCGCGGAGGTCCAGGGCAAACTCCGCCTCGGACGCAGGACCTGCCGTGGGGTTTGCCGCGGCGCCTGCCGAGTCTTCCCCGGCGCGGGGCGCAGGGCCTGCCGTGGGTCTGCCGTGGTGTCGGCGACGTCCATTTGAGCGCGTCTGGAGCAATCGGCGCTCCGACACACAGACACAGACACACACACACACACAGACACAGACACACAGACACAGACACAGACACAGACACAGACACAGACACAGACACACACACACAGACACAGACACAGACACAGACACACACACACACAGACAGACACAGACACAGACACAGACACAGACACACACACACACACAAACACACTTTGCACGACATCAGCTCCGCC